CAGGTAATTTGCAGGATATTCATTTTAATAAAAAAAAAAAAAAAAAAAAAAATGACCAGGATCAGCAGTAGTTTGTCTTTTTCCTTTTTGGTGGGGTGGTTGTAAAAATGACAGTGGGGAGTCAGTGCTTACATTTTATTTCTCAAAATCACAGTTCAAAAGAGGGGGACATTTTTGAGCTTTCACAATTAACTCAAACCTGACTAAGGAGGTGTTTTTGCTCTCTGCTTGCTGCTAGATTGTTAAAAGGGATCTTGCTGAAGGGATGTTGGATGCGTGAGCAGGTCAGCAGGAGCCAGTGCCTGAACTTGCGTGACAGAAGGAATTCAGCTGGGTTCTTTTGCTGTCGCATGTTAGGTGCAAAATAAAAGGCAGAGGTTTGAATTTGGGCCTTTATTTGAAAGGATTAGGCATCTTTGTACTCTCTTTCTTTGTCCTTCAACTATACCTTGGAGGAGATTAATTCCCAGCAGGCATTAGGTAGGAATTCCCTTGCTCAGAGAGAGCCCATGCTCCAAATCTGAGGCTGCTGCACATGGTTAATGAAGCCAAGTCATTTTGAGACTGTATGTAGAGATTTTGGAACAAATCAAAAAGTTAAATTTTTTTAAAAAGAACGAGGGGACTGGAGCTCTAGAAGGGGCAGCATTCTGCTGTGGTGAAAGCTTGCAAGCAGTCGAGTAGCCGTCTTTAAACTCTGTAATGGCATATAAGCCTGTTAAATACTAGAACTAAAGCAATGAATGAATAATGATACAATATATAATATTATTTAATGAATATGAATAATGTTTCATTATATTTCAACTGAATGTAGAGTTTAAATAGCGTGCTCTCATTTGTAAGCCATGTACCCCGAGTCCCAAGCAAATAGGTGTCTCAGGGCTTTATTTTTCTAATTCTAAAGTAAATACAGTGGCGTTGTCTTTGTTATCTAGCTAAACGTGATAGCAAGTGCAACACGCAAAATAAACGTCCTCAGCCTCTGGTGAATTTGGGGAGTATTGAGATGTGAAAGCGCTCGCAGTAGCCAAGGCTGAGCTGCTGCATCCCGAGCTTCCCGCCCATCCTCTGGGAAGCCTCGGAGCTGCCTTGGGCAGCGAGTTCCGTAGCTGCTGGGCAGCCCTGGGAGCCCCTGGCTTTGGTGCCAGGGTGTCTCCTAAGCCACTCGCCGGCTGTGGATCATACACCTGGGCACACAGACAGGGCAAAGTTGCACTGGAAGCCAAGTCTAAGGCAGCGTGTGGAAGGAGATCTCCGTTTAGGATAATTTGGCTGTTTCTACCAGAAAACTTTGTAACAGGAGTAATACAAGTGATTGTTTTTATTCTTTACCAGTCTATATGTATTTTGGCTTTTGAACTTCAAATTGCCATTATAAAGCTATCATGTACAAGTTTTAAAACAAAAGATACATTTAAAAGGCCAGGAGCCACTGTCAGGCATTAATTTGCACCATTAACTTTGTTTGACGTTGGTAAATAAGGATAGGAAAGATTTTAATATGACTTTGCTATATGTGTGCAGCCTATAAAAGGCAGTGGTAAGCGCTGCTACTGGTCTGATTTCTGGCACAAATTCTTCATGGAGTATTAGCTTTGAGATAAACATGTTTCTGAGTTACATCAAAAATGCATTTATGCCTCTTGTGCAATCTATCCCTCCATTACATTAGACTTGATAGTAAGCGTTGCAGCTGGGGTTCTTAGGCCAGAAGTTACCTGTGACGTCACAGGTGCTAACTAATAGCTTGGCACCTATAGGAGCAATAATAGATCTCCCTCCGTTCGTTTGGATGTTGCTCCATTTGCACCCCCATAAAAGTCTGAAAATACTTGAGAACAGACAAACTGAAATATGTTCGAGTCTCCTCCCTGTCCCCACCCTCCCTGTTTGTTTTGGTGGGTTTTTTTGTTTTTTTTTGTTTGCTTGTTTGTTGTTCTGATTTTCAGAAGTGACTTATGTTTGGAGGGCATCAGACATTATTGCTTTTGGGGTGTTTTGCTGTGCTGCTTAAAAGTTGGTGATATTTCAAATTGTAAATTCCCAACCTGAGAGAGAGACAGAATTGCAAATTTGCTTCTTAAATTATAACCTAAATAATAAATTAAGTAAAATGTTCTCAAAAGAAGCAAATCTTTCCCAACTTCCATTAAAATTCATGTAGTGCAAATTCCCAGCGATGCCAGACTTGTTTTTAAAGCCAGTCTCTGCAGTCGTCTGTGCTGTAGTAACACGAGGAAGCTTAGTGCTCAAGACCTTGTATTGCAAAAAGAGATACTGAGACTGTAAGGGAAGTTTCCTAGTAGAGGGAGGAGGATTATATCATTTGTATAAACTTTCTTTGTAAGGTGACGGATACTTCATTTTTCCCCTCACTCCGAAATGGTTTCCTCTGTTTTTTTCCTTCCGCTTGTTATCTAAGGATTTGGTCTTTCTGGTGCTTTTGGGTCCATGACTTGGCCCTTTGGAAGCAGCATTTGTTAGACAGATAATTAGTGCTTATTCTGGTTGGGGAAAACTTTGTTGTATCTTTTTCGTCTGGATAGTACTGACCATTTCTTGATTTCTTTCATCATTTTCCCACCCTTTTGTGCTCTGCCTCATTTTGTTATTTGGTCTTATCTTCTCTCCAACTTTTTCCTCTATTGCCTTAGCCTCCCTCTTTCCTACCTCATATGGAACATAGGAAGCAAATCAAATTATTGCATGGAAACTTTTTTTTTTTTTTTAAATAAAAAGGTCATGAAATGAAATTTGAGTTAATAAAAAAGTTAATTATTGAAGAAATGATTGATATATTGGAGAAATCCAGCCTCAGTGATTAATGTGTTTCTCTTTCTTGCTCCATACTACCTAAAACCATTTTTCACCTGGTGTCTGTCTATATGGCTGTTGAGGAACAGCTCGCTGATTGGGATGAGTCTCACGTAGAGGGTAATTCGGGCTTGCCGTGCGCTGAGCTGTATTTATGGAAGGTTATAATTTTCTTAAAAAGTAATCTTTGAAAAAGGCATTTGAAGACAATACTTGTAAATTTGGAGAATTAAAAATTGGAGAATGTATAGCTTAATGTCTAGGTTAATTATTCTGTGTCCAGTTCAGGCATGTTTGTGTGCACAAAAAGTAAGAATGTGTGCTATTTTACAGAAAATGCCTTTCTTCCTGAGGATGCCCAGGGTGGGAAATAGGGCAACAGTAATTAGCCAGCTACCTTGAGTCTCATTTATTTATTTATTTAGCACGTGTGGTCTTAAAATACTCTTGCTTTGATTGTGATTGAGCTCTGTGTTCATTAATACCCTGCCAACCTTGTATTCAATCCATTATGCAGAAGGCAGGTATCAAATTCTGTGTATTTGAGCTAATGTTACGTGTAGCTGCAGACTCGCAGTCAGAAATTTGGTCTGCCCGGGATCGATACTCCCTTCTTTCTGCGCTGCCACTTCAGTTTTCGTCTGCTTTCTTTCTGCATCGTCACCTTTGCTTCCAAACACTGGCACTAGACATGCACCCAAACACGCGGTGCAGTGATAGGACGCGTGTAGCCACCAGCACGAGATGAGAAGCTGCATCCACATTTTGCTTGTGTACCTACAGGGTAGGTTTCCTTGATCTGTTGCTGTTTACTGGTACAGCTGCTGTGCTTTAGTGAATCAAAATGTTGAATTTCAAAGTGCCTGTCAGTCACACAGAGCTGGAAATACATAGTGCTCATCATTACAGCAGCTGAGAATTATTATGAGAACCTAGCCAAAATGGTTTAAAAACACTTTCATACACCAAATTTATACAGGTGAAAATGTAAATATAGTGACAGATGTAAATATTTACAAGTATTGACAGGGATATTCTTTTTTTACTAATGCCTACTTTATGAAAATACTTGAAAATAAAGTCTTGGATCAATTTTTTGGTTTAAAAAAATTTTATTTGCTAATAAAATACTTTATGATGAAAATATCTATCTTAATCAATCAAACAAACAAAAAACCCTGAGATTTCTTAATTAAGAATCACAATATAGTCCCACTTTTGTCATGATCCTTTCTTGCGTTCAAACACAGCATTTGTTTCAGGTCTGAATGTAGGTACCAGTGGGAGGAAAGTCTCTCTCGAGGTAGCATTTGTCAACTGCAGCAGCGCTGTTTTCATTCTTTCCTCAAGCTAATGTGATTAAAGGATACATATATTTTTTTCAACTTCTTCTATTTGCTTACTTTAGAGTTATATCCATCGTCTAAATGTCGCTTATTTTGATATAAAACATAAAAGGAAAGAAAACTTTTTTTTGTGAAGATTGAAGGCTTAAGATTGCTTTTAACTCAGTGCTTGAAACTGAGTAGCTATCAAGACAAGAGTAAATTGAAATGTCAAATACATTAGAGAATGATGATACAGTACATTAATAGATGTTACAGTTATTTTTATTGTTCTTCTAGAATATTCAACTTCCTTAACCAGGCCATTTGGGGGGAGATTTTCTATCTGAAGTTCAAATGCTGATTTTTATTATGAGGATTTCTTGCTGCTTCACTTTTAATGGCTAAAATTAATGCTTTTCCACAGATGCTTCATTTTTACAAATTCGTATCAAAATACAAATTTGAAACAACTCTTGGCTCTTATTCTGCTGTTATAAAAATGACACCATTTAATTGCACAGAGACAAATAAAGACTTCCAATTTCTAGTGCCAGAAAAACAGTGTCATTTTTCATCTCCAGAGCATTCTGTATGTTACAGATTTTGCTTTAAAGAAAGCATTGTGATGTTCAGTTTGCGTAAAATTAGGTAATATTCCCACTATATGAAGGTTCAATAATCTTGCTGTTTGAAGGAGAACTAAAACTAGCATGATCTTCCCATATTTCTTTAATCCAGTAGGGAAATGGTATTAACGTTGGAGTAATTTTGTATACTTTCAGATAGTAATAATTAAAATGTTTCATGATTTGTACAGATAAACACAAGGACTGCTCTGGTGTAACTTTACATCTGACACATCAAAAGTAAGTATGTGTGAAAATCTTTTTCTATTTTGAAATCTTATTCATCAGAACACAAGACATTTAGCCCCTGTAGATTACTTTGAAAGATGTGAAATAAAAGTATAAAAAGTAATGCTTAATCCCATGATGTATGTTAATGTTATTTTACAAGACATATATTATCTCTTGATAAAACGTGCTCTTTTCACATTAAGAAACTTGAATGCTATCAGCATTGAACTAAACCAATTTGGAAGCTTCTTATTTAGAAATCTGTGACAAGGATAGAAATTAAGTAGAGGGTTATTTTGTCTGAATCTACATGCTTTGCAAAAGATATTTTAAAATTGTAGCTCAGTATGACAGAAGTGAGGGAAGAGCATTTGCCGTAATTCCTTTCTGTTTGTCAGAAACAATCCAACATTTAACAATAGGTGGTGTTGAGTAGCATTGCACATCATATCACGCACAGCAGATGTCTGCTCTTACAAAGGACTTGTTTAGCAGAGCTTGGGTTTTGAATTACAGGCAGCCTTTGATTGCTGGAATGTATCTTATGATGTCTGTGAACACTGTAATACCACCAGGTGAGAAAGGTAAGTTGTAACCCTGCAAAGTGATAATGTAATTTTAACCTCTGATTTCTGTTTTGTTTTGTTTTGTTCTGTTTTCACCTGCTGATTGTGGAAAAAGAAACTTAGCTGAGACTTGAGGACATGTGGATGGAAGAGTTGATTGCTACATGAAGTGGATGATTAAAAAGAATTTAAAAATGTTCTCATAGTTCTAGGTGAAATTCTAGGTGCATTTGTGCTGTAAATTTTTAACTTTTGAAAATTCCATTTTAATAGATGAAACTCCTCATGTGAGGATCTTTTCCTGTGTGCCTAGGGTTAAAATGTCAATATGCTGAAGAAATATTGTGGAACAAGATTTTACTTGAAATTCAGGTTGGGTTTGGAAATATTTCTTCAAACTGGCTTGGAATGTTCAATTTGAAGCAAGTTGAATAATTTATATGCGATCCTGGGGTTTTAAAAGAGATATCTGAGGACTCTACCCCTCCCAAGTACAGCTTAGTTCCCTAGTAGGAGAAGGTGGTCAAATGCTCAACTGACCCCAAGTGTTGGCTCAATTCAACACCTTTAAATACCTTTTTGGGGAAATTAATTGTTTATTTATTTTAAAGATAAGTTGCAATTTAGCTTATTTTGCTCCTCTGTATAAAATTATCAAATTGATTTTTTTCTTTCTGTTGAAGTTTTTGATTAATTCAGTAATTGCATTGAAGCTGTGGGAGGAAGGAGGAGGAACAAAAAATAGTTCCATCTTCTGATGTTCAATCACATTTGCAGTCTTTTAAATAATGCATCGTCTGACATAAGCAGTAGTGAGTCAGCCAGCCTACATGTATACATATATCTCTCTAGGAGATATCTGCAGAGTTTTCCTGGGCTTCTCCTTACCTGTTGCTTCTGCACCTACCATAATAACCAGCCTGTAGATCTTGTTTAAACAGCTGTGACTTGCCCAAGGCTGCATCTAAAAACAGGACTCGCAATAAGCCTAATGTGAAATTTAATATATTATTTAAATATTAGTACTTCTTTATAAACTTTATCAGTATGTTTTGAGTTCCTCCTCCTGGTTATATTGACTGATATGTGTATGTTTAATTTTGGATGTGTGTCATTGCAGGAAGTCATTTGCATGTGCCTCGTGTTTAGTGTATTTTTGTTTTTCTTCCTTAACAAAAGTCTTGAGGTAGTGACTATAGAAATGCAAGAAGCTATTCAGCATCTTCTAAAATTCTCTTGCTCATTGTTACTGTACTTTTTGCATATTTTTCAACATGAAATACTGTAGTTGTCATTTTCTTCAGTTCAGTGAGTAATGAATTTAAACTTGTTTATTGCCATCATATTTTAACAGTGGTTGATGCAGATATTGCCTGCCATTACAAAAGATTTCCAATGCACCTCTTTGCCTACAGAGTTCATACCCACAGACTAGGTAAGAGCTTTACTGCAGTACTAGGAATATCAAGCATTTGTTAGAAAAATACTAAACCTCCAATAATGGGGTTTTCTCAGAGCTGCATTTGAGGCTCATCTGCACCTTTATATGTCATAGGTCAAGTAGTAAGTGGATACAGAGTGAGAAATGGTCAGTGGACATTGATTGGTAGACAGAGTCCACAATTACCACAGGTAGGTGGGTTTTTTAATTTTATTTTATTTTTATTCTAACTTATATAGTTTAATTGATATTTATTTAAAACTAAGCAGCTTAACTAGCACTTCTCTATCCATAGGATTTGCATCTTTTGATGTTCACTAGAAATGTGCTGTCATGATGTCATGATGCAAAAATAATGTGTAATGCATGGGGGCTCAGGGTTTTTGTAGAGGGAATTAGAATTTTCCAAGTACAAATTTGGGCATTTACTTTTCAGACTTGTTGCACGAGTGTTTTCATGTGCACATTCATGTATGTAATGCAGGACACTGTCACTAATTCTGATGGCTCGTGCTCTCTTGCAGGCTTTCTATCCTGTGGAGCATCCTGTAGATATTCGTTTTGATGACATCCTTGCAGCTAGATGCGTGTTCAGTGGTGAAGGCAGAACTACTGAAACACATATAGGGTAAGTTTTCTCTGTTTACTTCATTCTTCTAACTTTTCTCTTTTTTTCCAAAGTATTTACTAGGTGCGGAAACATATTTGTTTCTTGTTTTACAACAAGATGATTGTGACAGGCTGTTAAAATTTTGCTCTCCAGTGTCAAGGGCTTAACTTTTAAGCATATGCTCTACAAAATTTATTACCTTTACTTACTTTGCTGAAATGTAAAGAACATTTTTCAGGTGAAGCCTTCCTGCTCAACACTGCTTAGATGTATAAAAGTTGAACTGTTCTGTGCTTAAAGTACTGGTTTCACTATTCAGAATTTCAGTTCTATAAAAACATATCTTTAATAAGTTGAAGATATTAACTATTCAAAACAAAGTAATGAATACTCATAACTTGAATTTCAGAAAGAAAGCTTATGCAAGTTTGTAAATTTCTTATAAATTCTGGCTCATTTTGAAATCTAACAGAAAAATGGAATAAAATTTTTCAATATAAATATCTGCAGACTTCTATGAAGAACAATTGAATCATAGTAACAGAAATAGTATATGACTAGTATTTCTAGTATAGAAGCAATATATGACCAGGTAAGGAGAGTATCGGTGGCTGCATTAGATACTTGTTAATCCGACAGGCTGAAAATAGTGCAATCCGTATCTTCCCCTTTCTACATAGGTTTAATAGAAATTCCACCATTTAGGAAAAGATTCCTAGATTAGGTTCACATGTCTACAACAAAATTTAAGATTAAATATTAAGTCTTGTTTGGATACTCAATCCTGTTTCATTATACCAAACTCGGTGTTGATAGAATATCAAGATCTAGATGCCCTTCCAGATTTCTGTGGCTGTGATGTGAAGGTGGTGTACAGGGATTTATTTTCCTTTTTCACTTGCTCCTCAGCATATCTGTTCTTTAAAGTCCTTCATTCACAGAACTTATGTTTGCTCAGTAGTTCAATATCTAATGGAAAGCACCTGTGTTGTCTGTGTGTCTACTAAAACTGATATTGACAGAATATTTATTTTATTTTATTTTTTTTTTTAAGAGTATAAACATTTTAAAATTACCAACTAGGAAATGTTTAGAGACAACCAGCGGGTGTCATCTGACTTGCACGTCCTCCTCCTACTGGGCTTTTAAAGGGGAGCCAGTTATACTGACAGATACCGGAGCTCAACAGCAAAGGGGATGATTTCTAAAAGCTGAAGCAAAGCCTGCCAAGCCAGAGACTGATTTCTCTGCTCCCCAAGGGACGCTAAATTTTCAAAGCCTGGAAAAAAAACCCATTCCCCTTTGGAAAGCGCCTGGGCTCGCGTGTTCCCGCCTCCCTCCCCGCGGCTGTGTCACGGCCGTTGCTATGGAGAGCGGCTGGATGCCGCGTGATGCCTCCGGAGCAGTCGGCACTGACGTCTTCTGCAGGCAGCTCATAGTCCACCCCCGTATCTGTTCGTGAGAGTGGGCTCACAAATTAGCTGTGATAGCTAATTAAAAATCTTAATGTGAAGCCCTGGATTTGGCAGCCCCTTCTGCACAAAGCCTAGTTTATTCCATTGCCAGGCTGGTAGCTATGTACGTATGCAGCCATGTGGCCCAGGGAAGCAACAGAAGCTGGTGGCTTTTATAAAGAGGCCATGTATTCGCTGCTTCATAAAATAACATTTTTCAGAAAAATTTATATTTCACACCAGCTGTTGTTTTTTCCTCAAGGACAGGATTATGTAGCAATACAAAAGAGCCTTTTCTGTTTCAAGCCTGTGCATAATACATACCAAAGAACTTAATTTTGCTAGTTTTGGATCGTTCCTGCTTCACCAATATTTTTGCTCACAGAAGCTAGTGACAAAGCCACTGTCAGGATGGCTGTGCTGTGTCATCAAGAGGTACTTAGTGCCTTAATATGTGATGGAATGAAGTATCACTGCGTTGTGACCAAGGTAGAGCTGGGCAATAAATGCATGCACTTGACTGTTTAAAAAGACCTTCCTAAATGATAGCTACTGAAATTAAACATTTGAATGGGGTTTTATTTTGAATTTGCTGTAGATTGACAGAGAGGTATGTGTATGATAGAATAAAGGGTACAGTTCATCTTCTTTTATCAGATCATATACCCAGTTGATAACACGCTGAGGAGCGACTTGCACTGGAGAGAAGAGAGGGAAGGAAGGAAGAGCAGTATAAATACATGTTGATACCATTTTCTTTAGAATCAAAACATAAATCTTGTGAATTTCTGAGAAACCTGGGGAAATCTGGTAAATCTGGAATTTCTGAAAAGCCTGGTCTTCTCTGGTATAGATCAAAATCAATTTCAGTTGCCAGTTCCCTGCAGTGATTCTATGCTGTGTTTTATGTGGGACTGATAACACTTCCCTGCAACATTTTAATACTAGGTTAAGTAAGTTATAAATGAATAACAGAGATACTCAGAGCTATGTTTTTCCTCTTCTCCTTGATCTTTTTTTGTGATGTTTAGGGGAACAGCCAATGATGAAATGTGCAACTTTTACATTATGTACTATATGGAAGCCCAACATGCTGTCTCATATATGACCTGTACACAGAATGCAAACCCTGAAATGTTCAGGAACATTCCACAGGAGGCAAATATTCCTATTTCAGTCAAGCCTGATATGCTAAAGATGGCACATGGACATCATGAAGGTGAAAATAAAACCTTGGAATCCATTTTATTTAAGCCATTTTTCATGGATACGTTTGTCTGTATTGCTTTAAGGTGCTAAATTTTCATAGAAAGGAAATGGAATACTGAATAAACCCCTTGTTGCTAATGGTAGAGCAGCATAAGCATCCACGTTAGCAGGGATCCTGCTTCTGTTTTGGGGGAAAATGTCTGCTGTCATTTTTCATCCTTTTCATCTTTTCTTCCATCTATCAATAGTTTTTTTTTTAATAGCTACATGAGCAGTTTACCCAAGACAGTAACTTCTTTACTATGCCAAATCTCAGTATGTTTCTTCATAACATGTTAGCTCTTGTCCATTTCTTTTGAGGCTGAAGTATGACATTTTCATTGTATTTTAGGTCATGCTGCCCTGATGTAAACATGCTCATGTTGTGTGTTTTATTTTATAGGAATGTGATTATGTTAAACACTAATATGCATACATCTTGCCTCAGAAGTATTTTACAGGAATAGGATGGCTGTTATATCTATATAGTAAAGTACAGTTCTATGCAGGGCATTAAATAACAGACACACTATAGTTACATCAGCAACTTGGAAAAATACTAAGTAGTAATGGCAAAATACTGCTTGGGACAGAATTACGTTGCTGTTCATTCTCGAATTAATTCTCTTGGAGCCATTGGGCAATCCATTGCTTACTCTAGATACTAAGACTCCTAAAAGTGCATGTCACTCCAGATATTAAATAATTGGATGATTATCTGAAAAGCACAGAAACACTTTTATCTTTTTTTTTTTTTTTTTTTTTTTTTTTTTTTTTTTTTTTTTTTTTTTTTTTTTTTTTTTTTTTTTTTTTTTTTTTTGGCTGGCATCATTGGCTTGAGATGGCCATTTAAACTGAATTTTAAGCACTGATCAAATTAGTTTGGGCTACCCCATCCCAAAGGTTTTGTGAAAATTAGAGCTTCATGCAAAATTTCTTGGCAATTTTGTCGTGCAGATTGTCTTCAGTTTGATTTAAATAAATACAATACCATACACTCCAGCTGTAGAATGGGTCTACCTACATAGAGCTAGATTGGCAGGTAATTGTATAGGTTTAAATTTATATTCATACCCCTCTTGTTTCCTTGTTAAATGCACAAGTCTAAATCTTTTATTTCTATTATTTTAATACTGCACTGCTTTATGCCATCAGTATAGATAAATAAAAATAACAAGTGTCGGGAAAGTGGGAGTATTTTTGCTTGTTTTTGTTTTATTCGTTCTGGATTTTTTCCATTTTTTCAAAAATGATAGTCAATTCGCTCACAAAGGTTAATATATTTCATTTTATTTTACTTAGAGAGCAAGGATGCTGATAAAAGTTCTTTGCTGCAGCAGCCCAAACGAGAAGAGGAGGAGGTTTTAGATCAGGGTATGTACTTTTTTATTCCTCTATCAAATAAGGGACTCATAAATTTAAATACTGGCTAAACATATCCTGATTGTTAACAATTACTGTAGTTTTATCTGTTTAACAACTACAAATTAACATGTTCTGTGTGGTTAATAATATTGGCCTACCGCTGATTGTCTCTAGCCTTGCAGGTAAAATTTATTTGTGCTTTTTCCTCCACTTAGTTTAATTTTCTAAAGACAATTACAGCTTATCTATAGATGTCCTTAGCTACACACAGAAGCAGTGGTGGTCCTGCGGGATGAGAATTCAATAACTATTCTGTCATGTAATGAATTGTGAGCTGCCATTAGTCCTTCTCCTGCTCATTCTTAGTTTGCATTACTGTGTATGTATCAGCTGTAATGTATGTATGAATTCTTTGTGCTCATGCTTTAGTACTAATCCAACATGCAGTGGCTTGAGCGTGACATGCTTGTGTTCAATGCTGAAGCCTTTTTCCCTACCTTTGCATATGCCCAAACATACATGCACAAATGCATACTGCATTTGGCCCCAGAAAAGTCCATGACTCTTGTTTTAATGCTTCTAGGAGAATGATGAATGTTACTTAGTTATCAGAGACATTTTAAAATATGAGTGTATTTTAAAGTTCTTGGGGAATATATGTCAATAGGTGCATATTGGTTTGGTATCGACATGTTTTTTTCTTTCCCTCATTTACTTACGAGTCCTTACTTGATGCTAGTTTGATACTGGTTTATCTGAACATTGTTGGGCTTAAAAGAGAATAACAAATCAGGACTGCCAAGAAAGAATGGATTCATAAAATATACATGAAAGGCAGGATTCTGAAAAGCACATTCAGCCTTAGCCTTTTTCTTGTGATATTTAAATAGTAAAATTCTTTTCACATTTAGTGAGAGGAAAAATTATGCTGATGCTTGGTGCTTCTGATAACTTCTTCCAAAGGGGCTAGCCACTGTATAAAGTTAGCTCAAGTAATTAATTTAGTTGTGCAAAATCTAACTTCCAGAGTACTAGAGCATCTTGACTAAAAGCATCTTAACCTATCAGAGACAATATTTACAACTCTGTATTTAAGCCTTACCCTAGACTACCCAAGGTGAATACTTAGAGAAATCCATGTAGTTCTAAAATTCCTGATATACTCTCCTTGATTTTTAAACTCATTCCAGGGCACAGTGAGCTAGCCGCTTATAGATCCAGATTTATGCTGACAAGCAGCTTTATGTTCCTGGTAAGCGCATTAGTATCGGATTGAAGTTCTTGTTATCGGTGTGTTTGGCTGGTCATTAATGTTTGAAAGGAAATTAGTTTAAAACAGACTTTTCTTTTAAAAGGTCTTTGAGTGCCTTTGGGAGGAATCTCAGAGCCCGGTGTCTGCAGTGCAGGCTCGTAGGCCGAGACCGTGACTTAGGCCGCGTCCTCCCTCGTGTGGTGGGTTGCTATGGAAACAGACCTTGCCGTGGGCCTTGCCCGCCTCAAGCGGGCTGGGATGGCGGTGTGAGGTGTGGAACCCCGGAGCTGCAGCATTGGTTTCATCCCGCCCTTAGATAGCCGTTCAGGGTAGATTCTCCCCACGCTTGTAGTGGCTTAGTGCTGGGTTTATGTCACTGTAGCTCTGATTTCAGGTGGTTTGTGTGCATATAAGCAGATGCTGAGGAGGAAAAATAGGATCAGGGGTTTTGATGAAGGCACTTGGGGTTTTATTCTTTTCAAAGAGAGAAAGTTCTATTGCTGTTTTCAGAAGTGACTGGGTACACTGGGAAAATCAGGTGTCTGAAAGTGATACATGAAAATCTACCCATAAAAATTGAATCAAGTGGGAGTCCTGCTTCTCGGACGCTTTGGTGGGGCAAAGTGGTTGATGTGATTACGTTGCCAATTTGCCCCTACCTTCCAATAACTTGAATAAGCCTGACCCAAATCTGAGAGAGCTCTTAAAGACGTGAAGGTTCCTCATGTTGGGTGCAGGCAAAATCCCCAGCCCCTGTGTGTTCCCATGCGCAGGTTGCACACGGAGGTAGATAATAACTCTCCTGAGGTAAAAGCCATGGAATATATTTTCCTTTTATGGTCTGGCATGAGAAACTTTATATAAAGGAGCTTATCTTCAAGACACAAATTCACAAAAACTCAGGCTTTGATTAGCTCTACTGCTGCTGAGCTGTTGCTTACTAAATTCAGCCTTTGATTAGCTCTGGAGATAGCACTTCAATGGATGTTTTTTTCCATAACTCTGTGTTTTGCCTCACATATTTTAACAGATTCTTGTTTTCTTCCTGGATGACTCATTGTAGCAACTTCATTTTTCCCTTCTTAGCTTCAGATAATGAAAATAAACACTATTACTTCTGAAATGCTGTTTAAAAAAATGCCCTGCAAATACTTGCAAATCTGGGGAATAGAAAAAATAAAGGATGATCGATGAGACAGTTTCATACTAAATCTGTGTGTTTGTCTCAAAGCAGACGTTGTCTCTAAGCTTAAAAAAAAAAAAAACTGCTCTATGAAAGTATTTCTGCCAGCAGTGTTTCTATAGAATGGATATATAAGTGAATGAAAGAACAGATTGAATATTGAATGAATAGGTATATAATGATTATATAAAATGAAAACGGAATTCCTGCCTATAGGTGCTTTCTCCTACATGCAGCCAGTGTATTATACAGACATCTCCAGAAGTTACCATGGCTTTTGCTGTAACTTCTCATTTCACACGTGAATCCATTCTGCCACCTCCGCTAATGAGAAGCGCGTTAATAAGCCGTGTAAATATGTTGAAATAAATGGCAATCATCACAAAGGGAACCATCATTCAGCACAAGCAAAGCCGACAAAGTTGAATTCCTTTAATGTTAAAATTAAACAAGACTTACTTGCCGTAATGAAGCCGACCTTGTTATAGGGCTTTTGAAGCATTAATGGCAATGTCAGGTGAGCAGAAGCTGTTGATAGAAAGCTAATTATTATCGCAAATGCAACCGACTGAGACAGTTGTGCATATTTAAGTGCTCCTTGTTCCTGCAGAAGCACCAAGTGCCCTGCGCTCAGCAAAACGTGTATCGGTTACATTTCTTTCCTGTTCATCAATAGAAGCATGAGTAAATTGGATTCAGTAGGTGGAGTCCTGGAAAGCTGTTATGTGTTCATAGCATTCCCCAGAATGTCTGCTAGCTCTCTCCTCTTTCCTTGTGGGGAAAAAAACACCTCCGTGTGTTCCTTTCTGTTTGTGCAAAACTCTCCGTGCGGTAGCCTGGGTGGCATCGTATAATCAATCTTTCTTCTCAAAGGTCACCGTGAGCTGCTGTGTTCCCAAGATGCAGTGGATATGACAAAAGTACAATTTGTAGAAGGAAAACAGTGCGTGACCTCTGCTAGTTAGAGGTCTTCAAATGCTGTCGGTGAAGCAGTGCGATCCGGCCGTGGTGCCTGCCAACTGAGGGGTTGCTGAACAAAAAGGCAACAGCTGTTACACTGCCAAGACACAGAAATAGAAGACTGCCTATGTAAAAGTTGTATTTGCGTGCACTGAAATACCCTTCCATTCATTTATGTAGTTGAATAATATGTACTCGCTACCAGAATTGAAAAATAAGTAGTTGACCAGAGTTGACCAACTCTTATTGTAATGTTTAGAGGTCTTTTTCTTTATATATATATATATATATATACATAAATATATATATATATATATACACATATTATATATATATGTATTTGGGACAGACACATGCTTCAAAGAGCTTAGATCTGTTTTGATAGACAAGCAGTAAGGCAGCCTCGGCTGTCAAGGTAGTTGCTGCTGTACCTGGGAGCTGTACAGATACAGTGAAAGGAGTTGTCTTAATGACCAACACGGAAGAGAGAGGAGACCCTTAATCAAGTGTCTGTTACTTTCTGTATCTCATTTATGTGCATTAGATGTAATCAAAAACCTTCTTTTGAAGCAGAAGGGGCAAGTATTATTCCTAGTACAATGAGTATAGTTATATTTAAAATTATATATTTGTAAAATATAGTGTTTATATAATACCTATATAATTAAGAAAATGTCAAGGCTGACTTGAACTAAAAATTTGTTTGCAGCACAGAAACCAAAAATCCTACCCAAAAATTAGATGAGAATTTTCTTTCAGAAAAACATAAGCACGCACATATGTGAGACAGAGAGAAAAGGAGAGAGGATTTTCATCTTACTTCTGCTATTAATGTTTATTATGGCAATAACAAAAGTGCATTCTTATTTGTGTACCTTGAGATGCTTAAAAGTTACTACCAAAAATGCACCTTGTGTGTTTCTGCCTCTTGTGCTGGGCTCTGAAGCAGCAGTCAAGATTGCCATTCTTTTGCTGTCGGTACCGGTCAGTTTGTACTGGCAATTTACTTTTTTCAGTTCCCACTAATTCTTCATTTTCATGAACATAAATTACTCCAGGACATCAAATGGTAGAGTTCAGTACAGGTGTACTTAAGATGTATCTTTTTGGATAGGACAGTGTGGTTTATGTGATATCCCCTTTCCAAAGCTGTAGTTTTTAACTGAAATCTCATTTAAGCTGCACATATTTAAAATCAATATTACGGTTTGAGTTTAGTGTATATATAAAAGCGATTTTGAGTTATGAGTCATAGGTGGTGAGGCAGCGGGTGCAGAGAAAGTCCCCACAGGTCATCATCTTCATTGATTCAGAGATAAAGTGTGCAGCGAGTAAAGCCAAGAATACCTTAGAAGAGTAGAGCTCCATGGAGTAGGGCAATTTAATGCCATCTGTTAGAAGAACATGTTTCCTCTGGTCTCCACCAGAAAGTTCATCAGCGATTCTAAGCAGCTGAGTACCTGTGAGAAGCCTGGTTTGTTTATTTATTTTCTGATCTGCGCTCCTAATCATTCCGGAGGGACACAACAAGTGAAGCTAAATCTTGTTGTAGTGCCGCGCATACCCGTTTCCTACTGAAACTGCCTGTAGTTATGCTTGGAACGTATGGCATGT